TTTTTATGCAATTTTAATGAGGATTTTTTTATGCAATTTTAAAAAAAGAAACCTCAAAATAGTATTTGAATACTGAGATTTCCCAGCTGAAAAGAAACAAAAGCTTTGCTAGCTTACAGGGAAAATAACATTTTAAGGCGTTTTTCCTCAAAATCGGGTTTTTGGTTGCTACTGTTCAAAAAAGTGCTTAAAAAAATTTATATAGGATAATATTTCAGACAGTTCATTCAAATGATACATTGATAACACATTTATTTGTTAAATTTTGAGAAAATGTAATTTTTGCAAGCTTTTTATTCAAAACACTATATCTGCCTATTTCTCCACAAACATTATAGACTTAATCCTCTTTTCGATGTGATGGGCATGGGTATTTTATGCAACTAGATTTTAAAACAATGCATAAAGCTGCAAGCTGTTTTACATTTGTGTAACAGCATTTCCAAATAATTGCTGTATTGATTCCCAGCTTTTGTCAAACCCATCAGTAACAATAACAAACAGCAATATATCAGCAGCTGTAAATAACTGAACGTCTTCTGTCCTCACCATCATCCTCATTACGYTCTGCAGGAAACTCTACTGACTCAGCCAGTGAAGCCAGAGAGGTGCGTCTGGAAGAGGCTCCTGAGGCCAGGCTCGCAGGTCTGCTGCCGGGCAACCTGTTGATCCAGTGATCACACAGGGAGGAACTGGTGGAACCTGTGAAAAAGACCAGATCAACCACTGTTTTAAAACTACTATCAAGAAAACTACTCTTAAAATCATTTTTAAATAATTTGAAGTTTATTGTGTGACAGTTATTATAAAATCTTTCCTATAAACATTACTGTGGCCAGAAATAAGTTGGAGTTGTTTATTATTATGGTTTATTATTAATTAAATCAATCTATTAGCTGAAAATGCTTCAACATTCCGTTGGAAATTTTGATTTGTTGAACATTAAAAGCTATTTAAAAAAAATGTAAAACTATGATTCGTGTAGAACAAGAGTGTCCAATCCTGGTACCCGCCGGCCGCTATCCAACGTGTTTTACTTGTTTTTCTGCTCCGACACACCTGACTCAGAGATATAGTTAATTCTGTAAGGTGTATTAATTAGAGCAGCATGATTTATACTTACGTTTTATGAATGAAATGAACAAATTAATTAATTAAATAAATATATTGTTTGAGTATCGTCATCACAAAGTCACAWTGCAGGTCCTGTGTTTTAGGAGACCAACTAAATCAATGTGTAAACCATATGTCGCTGCACTAAACGGTTGTGTGTTATGGCTTTTATTTTGACAGGTTGTTTCTGCCGGAGGAAACTGACTGCCTGCGCTTTGTGTAAAAAGAAAAAGAAAAAGAAAAAGAAAAAATTAATTTTGTTGTAAAACTTCTGGGACAATAATGGTAGCACTTTTTGGGGAACTGTTGGCGATGAAATCTCGTGCTGTGGAGGGAGACGAGGATCATGATGAAAGCGACGAGGAAAAGAGGTAAAATACAATTTAGCATGAATGCTAATATTAAAGCTTGACGAAAACAGAAACTAAGCTTGATCCGGAGGCAACATGTTGGGTTTGTTTATTAAAACGTAATTCACGTTTGCACATGATAGACGGAAACATGTACCCAGGTCCCAACACAATAAAATCAAGCAATAAAAAATAACCAGAAAAACTGAAATACAGACAAAAAACATGTTTATAACATGCACATAAAGAGGTAAGACCAGTGCAGGTTCATCTTTAACAAGATGGCAGCATAACTTCTAGTTATTCAACTGAATTATTGAAAATTTGAACATTAATTTGATTGGTTAGAAAAATTGTAATGTCTGTCCCCCCCAATATCATTCAATTCAATTCAACTTTGTCATATGCAAAGTAAGGAAACGTGTTTCCCTGTACAATGAAATTCTTACTTTGCCGTCCCCACTGGATGTTTGGATACAAAAAGACGCAGTGTAAAGAATAAAAACAGTTCCCAGACAGTAGAAACAATTCATGCATAATAAAAACTATTCACACAAAGCATGGAGTAGAATAGAATAGAGTATTTTTAACACAAGGATTCTATTCCATAAGTAAAATATGTAATGTATTAACAAAAAATGTTGAACATAAACCTCTTCAAAATATACATAGACTATTTACATATCATGCAGCAATACGATTAATCCCCCATTCATTTAAACCTGTGTGCTAGAGCAGACAAAACATGTAAAGCATGCAGGATAGGATTAGACACCTCTGATGTAGAGAGTGGTTTGTTTATAGCCATAACACACATATGACAAAAGTAAGAAAAGTAACAAAATATGCATGCGCACACAAAAGATAAATTCAAAATAATTTAATAAATCTAACATTTGAACAATTTAATTTAGAMAAAGATACTTACCAGCAACAGAGCTGTTGGCCGACCAGGAGGGAATAGCAGTTCTCCTTTGATAGAACAGTATATAGGCTGTCTGCTGACAAACATTATCATCAGCTACTGGTGAAACCTCACTGTCATCAAAGCAGTACCAYTGACCATCAATAGAGTTTTTGCAGTAAGCTGTGAACACAAAGTGAGATTAACAAAGGCCATTCATTAGAATCCTAATCTCCACATACAAGTAATTGCTGCAAATTATAGTTGGACCTACCAGTGTAGTGGCCTCCGTGCATATTGCCATGATGGTTGCACACAGCGTACAGGTCGTAAAGGAAGTCATCGGGGTTCCTTCCAAGGCCGTAGGACCGTCTCCATGGCGACCAATGGGAGGGTAAACTCCAGCTGCTCTGGCTTCGTTTGACTACATGTGGAGCCATGTCCATCCCCATCAGCGGGAACTTCACCATGTTCTGCATCTTCACCCTCCGGTCGCCCTCCTGGAGTACAAACCAAGTTAGATTGACTAAGCTAAAATCATTTTTCTTCTTCTAACATCAGAGCTTTGGAAAAATACCCTCCAGTGTGTGTTAATGTGCAATAAAAGTTGTGGTTTTATGAAGCAATAAAAAAAAAGGGACTGGAGAAACACAAAAATGGCATCTGGTGAAAATGTAGTGCTTATTATTCCAAATACCAAGATGCTCAATAATTCAGTCCAAATCCCACAAATCGAATGAATAGATAGATAGATAGATAGATAGATAGATAGATAGATAGATAGATAGATAGATAGATAGATAGATAGATAGATAGATAGATAGATAGAT